TGATCTTATATTCTCTTATTGTGAAAAAGAACTAGATGACACGTTTACAAAGACCTAAAATGCAGTACAGTCTGATTCTTTACTCTTGAATGTAGAATTAAACGTTCTTTCTTTGAGATGTGTACACAGAGTCTATTAGTGAACTTGAAAAGCAGGATACTCTGCTGGGCACGGTGGCTCATGCCTGTAATCCCAGCACTTTGGGAAGCTGAGGTAGGTGGATCACCTGAGGTCGGGAGTTTGAGGCCAGCCTAACCAACATGGTGAAACCCTGTCTCTACTAAGTAAAGTACAAAATTGGCTGGGTGTGGTGATACATGCCTGTAATCCCAGCTACTTGGGAGGCTTATGCAGGAAAATCACTTGAACCCAGGAGGCGGATGTTGTGGTGAGCTGAGATTGTACCATTGCATTCCAGCCTGGGCGACAAGAGCGAAACTCCGTCTCAAAAAAAAAGGCAGGATACTTTTCTAGTGAGCTCTTTATTCCAACTGGGTAGTCATCTCATTCAACCCTGCAAAATGAAAGCAGTCCTACAAAGCCTGAACAGCCAGCATACCCAGAGTATCCACCACTGGACAGCGTGGAAACAGGAAATGTGTGTCTTGGCTCACACACTTAGCCTAACCAGGCTGTTTCATGAGGTTAGAAATGTAAAGCAGTTAATCCTTTAGATGCCACAAAGATCAACTGTTTTCAACTGATGGTTAAAATCATCAGAACATGGTTTTATTTTAAATTTTATCACCTTGCATTGTTTTGCATTAAAATAATCCATTCTGGTAAAGTATTAGCAAATCAGTAAAATTTACTGGACCAAGGTCCTTTTACTGTCCTTCCTTTGGTCCAGAGGAAGAGACGAACCAAGGCTTTTTGTTTCTCATGTATTCTAGATGACATTCTTTCCCATCTCCTCTCAACCCTGAATCTACCAACTATTCACCCTACCCGCTAGGGAAAGGTTATTTATCCTCCAGGCTTCTAAGGAAACTAGTCCACAAAATTGGATAGCAATAGTACCTACTTTCTTAGAGTTCTTTGATTAAAAAAATGAAATGATACACATAAAGTGCTCACAAGAGTGCCTGCTGGGAGTGAGCACACAGCAGCATTAAATGCAGCTTCTATTCTACATGAGCTCCCCTGTTCATTCTTCTCATGCCCTAACTCATTCTTATTCTGTATACCCTAGTCTCTGCCGTCTTCATTTTTTTTTTCCTTTTCTTTATCTCTCTTTTTTTGTTTGTTTGTTTGTTTGTTTTTGAGACAGTCTTGCTTTGTCATACAGGCTGGAGTGCAGTGGCACAATCTTGGCTCATTGCAGCCTCCACCTCCCAGGTTCAAGCAATTCTCATGCCTCAGCCTCCTGAGTAGTTGGGATTACAGGCGTGCACCACCACGCCTGGCTGATGTTTTGTATTTTTAGTAGAGATGGGGTTTCACCATGTTGCCCAAGCTGAGGTCAGGCAATCTGCCTACCTTGGCCTACCAAAGTGCTAGGATTATAGGCATGAGCCACTGTTCCTGGTCTTTTTTTTTTAAGACAGAGTCTCACTCTTTGGCCCAGGCTGGAGTGCAGTGGGCAATCTCGGATCACTGCAACCTCCACCTCCCAGGTTCAAGCAGTTCTTGGGCCTTAGCTTCCCAAGTAGCTGGGATTACAGGCGTGTACCCATCACCCCTGGCTAATTTTTGTATATATATGTATGTATGTATCTATTTGTTTTATTTATTTTTGAGACAGAGTTTCGTTCTTGTCGCCCAGGCTGGAGGACAATGGCGTGATCTAGGCTCACTGCTACCTCTGCCTCCCGGGTTCAAGCGATTCTTCTGCCTCAGTCTCCCAAGTAGCTGGGATTACAAGCACATGCCATCATGCCCTGCTAATTTTTCTACTTTTAGTAGAGTTGGGTTTCGCCACGTTGGTCAGGCTGGTCCCGAAATCCTGACCTCAGGTGATCCGCCTGCCTTGGCCTCCCAAAGCGCTGGGATTACAGGTGTGAGCCACCATACCTGTCCTTTTTTTGTGTTTAGTAGAGATGGAGTTTCACCATGTTGCCCAGGCTGGTGTCAAACTTCTGGCCTCAAGCAGTCCGCCCCGCTCAGTGCTGGGATTACAGGTGTGAACCACTATGCCCGTCCTCTGCAGTCTTCATAACACATGTACACTCCTTTCTTCGCTTTGTTTCTACTTTAGCTACCAGGCTAATTCCTTGCCTAGCCAGACACTTTCAAAGTGTGATCTAACAGTATGGACTAAAAGAAGCCAAATGCAAAAGAGAATGTATGATTCCATTTATATGAAGTTAAGGAATGGCCAAAACCTACAAGGACAGAAATTATAGTTACTTCATGGGTGGGAATGTGGTGGTTTTGACTGAACTCCAGAGGGAGTCATTTGGAGAATGGATATGTTTTCTATTTTGATCTAGGAGGTGGTTATACAGGTTTTATACATATGTAAAAAGTCATCAAGCTACATAGCCTTGAAATGTGAGCACTTTAAATGGTGGATGTTATACACCTATCTAAACAAAAAGGGCCCACGCACTATCCTTCACCACCTGTCACTTGCAGATCTTTCCTACCACTTGCCACCCTCTTCTTGGTGAAATACCTCTCTGTGTTTGTGACTCTGCCTCTGGCTCCTACTAAGTTTCTTTCATGGCTCCTCATCCTTTGTCAGCTCCTATCATGCAGCTGTTTTTGTAATGCTAGAACTTCATGGTGATTTGGCTCTGCTGGCTGTAGGCTACCTACCCAATATAGCAGGGCAGAAACCCATAGGCACCCCTTTGTAAAGCTGTGGCATTTGCTTATATGGGGCAGTAATATGTGCTGGGACTAGATTAACTCAGAAATGTCAGCCTAGCTGTATAAGGTGCCCACTTGGGGCTCTGTGATGGTCAAAGGATATGAAGTTTATGAAAGCCTCAGAAGTAGAGTCTCACTGAAGACATAAGACCCACACAGGGTGAGAATGCATGAGTAATATTGCATTATCTGGTATAAATGGTTATTGCTCCAGAAGTTAATAGTGAGGGGTCAAGAATCTGAGGCCGGGCGCGGTGGCTCAAGCCTGTAATCCCAGCACTATGGGAGGCCGAGGCGGGTGGATCACGAGGTCAAGAGATCGAGACCATCCTGGTCAACATGGTGAAACCCCGTCTCTACTAAAAATACAAAACATTAGCTGGGCATGGTGGTGCGTGCCTGTAATCCCAGCTACTCAGGAGGCTGAGGCAGGAGAATTGCCTGAACCCAGGAGGCGGAGGTTGCGGTGAGCCGAGATCGCGCCATTGCACTCCAGCCTGGGTAACATGAGTGAAACTCCGTCTCAAAAAAAAAAAAAAAAAAAAGAAACTGAATGAAGTGTACCTGAAAGATGCTTCATGTATATCTATCTGCATGCCTAACTCAGACATCCTCCTAGTCTTTACTCAAATCTCACCTTCTCAGTGAACCTCCTTTTTTTTTCTTTCTTTCTTTTCCTAAGAGGCAGGGTCTCACTGTTGCTCAGGCTGGAGTACAGTGGCAGGATCATGGCTCACTGCAGCTTTCATCTCCTGGGGTCACATGATCCTCCTGCTTTAGCTTCCCTAATAACTAGGGTAGGGCTACAGGCATATGCCATCATACCCAGCTAATTTTTTAAATGTTTTATTTGTTGAGACAGAGTCTCACTGTATTGTCCAAGTTAGTATTGAACTCCTGGCCTCAAGCAATCCCCCAGCCTTGGTCTCCTTAAGTGCTGGGATTACAGGCATGAGCCACCACACCCAGCCTCAGTGAAGTGTTCTTGTATATATGAGTATAGTCTCTTGTAATATATGAGTATAGTCCCAAGACCTCCTTCACCTGCACTCCAGATCTCTTATTCCCTGTTCTACTCTTTTCCTGTAGTGCTTATTACCTTGCAACAGAACAGTATAATTTACTGATTTATTATGTTGACTGTTGAAAGTTTGTTTACCTTACCAACTGTAAGTTCTACAAGGCTGGGGGTATTTGTTTTGTCCACTGGGTGTATTTTACCTGCCTAGAACAGTGCCTTGCACATAGTAAATACTTGGTAAATAAATTACTTGTTGAATTACCTGAATGACTGGTTCAACCATGTGGTTTAAATTCAAAACAAGCAGACTCATGCCTATAATCCCAGCACTTTGGGAGGCCAAGATGGGTGGATCACTTGAGCCCAGGAGTTTGAGGCCAGCCTGGGCAATATGGCAAAACTCTATCTCTACAAAAAATATAAAAATTAGCTGAGCATAGTGGTGTGCACCTGTAGTCTCAGCTACTTAGGAGGCTGAGGCAGGAGGATCACTTGAGCCCAGGAGGTTGAGACTGCAGTGAGCCATGATCATGCTACTGTACTCCAGCCTGGCCAACAGAGCAAGGCCCTGTCTCCAGAAAAGTAAATAATTAAAAATATAAAATAAAATCAAAATAAGCAAAAGAAAGGCCTAAAGCTTATAAGGGTAACATCAAAGCACCTCTTTCACCAAGACAGAACCTTCCAGATCCATGTTGTCAACTGTTGAGAGTTATATTTAATGGTTCAAGATTATCCCTGGACCTCTTACTTCAGGTGTAGCCAGGAATCACCTTGACATTGTCTGTAGCAGCCTTGGCTACCGGTCCCTGTCATAGGTTTCAATAGCAGACCAATATGAGCAATCAGAACAGCGATGTTTTGTGCACTTGGCAGCCTGTGCACATTCATGGAGATAAATGTGAGTAGTTCATGTTAAGAATTCAGAGATGTTTCTTATCTGTGAGGAAAAAGAAAAAAAGTAGTTTGGAGATGTATCAGTTGTAGTTGGGTTGATGTCCCCAGTGATCAGAATCCTCATTTTGCTCTGAATTTGTTAACTATTGATTCATTTTTAGAGTTAGAAAATAAATACAAGTCAGAGCTTAAGCAGTGAAAAAGCAATCTATTTCTTTATTCCCCGTCAATACTATGTATGGCTCTGACCTGACCTCTTTTCTTTCAGGGTGAAAAGGCTGATAGCTTTTACATCATAGAGTCTGGTGAAGTGAGCATTTTGATTAGAAGCAAGGTGAGTTTATTAGTTTATATGTGATGGTGTACACACAAAAAGTAACGGTTTGGTTTAAATAATGTGAAATGTGTTGCGTGCACCAAACCGTCATTGTTTTGTGAGGTGTGTGACTGGCAAAGACCCATGTTTAAGCTTATCCATTGATATAGATTTAGTATATTTCTTCTTATTCTTACTGCCTTTTGCTCTGCCATGTAATTAATGATTTGGGGAATATTGGCCTACAAATCAATGAGAAAAAGATTAAAACCCTAATAGAAAATGGTGGCTGGGTGCAGTGGCTCAAACTTGTAATCCTGGCACTTTGGAGGCCTAGGCAAGAGGATCCCTTGAGCCTAAGAGATTGAGGTTGCAGTGAACCGTGATTGTGCCACTGCACTCTAGGCTGGTTGACAGAGCAAGACCCTGTCTCAAAAAAGGAAAGAAAATAGGGAAATTACATAATAAAAAAAGATTGGAAGTGGTGAACATAAAGAAAGCTCCCTTTTTAGAGCACTGCTAGAGGAGGTCTCTAGGAAAATGATGGTCATTTGATGGATGGTGTGACCTAGAAAACAGGAGCTATAAGTAGGAGGAATGACTCTTACTGGTAAATCTATCATCATCAGATTTTCCGGTTCCTTTTTTTTTCTTTTTTGAGAACACAGAATTTGTTCAAACAGTTATATATAATACTAAGTCGAGCTAGTATAAAAACTTTTACAAAATATATTGAGTAAAAGTTAATAAGTATGGTAAAAAAAGAAGAATATTACTGTCTATAAGATAGCTGGATTTGTTTTCTCTTTATTTATTTTATTTTATTTTTGACTGAGTCTTGCTCTGTTGCCCAGGCTGGAGTGCAGTGCTGTAATCTCAACTCACTGCAACCTCTGCCTCCTGGTTTCAATCAATTCTCATGCCTCAGCTTACTGAGTAGCT